ATTATTCCCACATTTATTCAATCACACATCTATGTATTATATAAGGGTTGATATTCATTATTACTATTTGCTGAGATTTGGCATTTGTAGCACTCAATAAGTTTCTAATGACATCTTCATTTTCTTTTTTCTCCAATAGATTGTACGTTTTATGAGGGTGAGTACAATGTCTCTATTGGTCACACTGCATCCCTGGCACTCAAGCATGAAAGATCCTCAATACATGATAGCTAATGAATGGAGTTAATGCATCTGGGAATGTTAATCCAGTTGGTGCCCAATAGACCATAAGCAAAAATATTCAGAATACAAGGTTGAGAGTTTTAGTGCTATGAAAGTGTAAAAAGTAAATCTTATGAGACTTCAGAGATTGGAAAATTTTGTGGAGAAAATTAGGGGAGTTTCATAACATTGGAGATTAGATTTAAATAGGCAGATGTCTTAGCTTTGGTTTCCTAGAAATACAGCCTGAGTCAATGGTGAAAGTCTTTTAGATGGAAGGTTCAAACCAAGGCTAGAAAGGATGAGTACAAAGGGAAATGAGGTAAGAGAATATATGTGAGTTTAGATCTAAAATTAAATAGTTGAGGCCCTGGTCAGGTAGCTCAGTTGGTTAGAGCATCGTCCCAATACACGAAGTTTTCGAGTTTGATCTCTGGTCAGAGTACATGTATAAGAATTAACCAATGCCTGACCGGTTTGGCTCAGTGGATAGAGCGTCGGCCTACGGACTGAAGGGTCCCGGGTTCGATTCCGGTCAAGGGCATGTACCTTGGTTGCGGGCACATCCCCAGTGGGGAGTGTGCAGGAGGCACACTCTATCCCTCTCTCCCTTCCTCTCTGTAAAAAATCAATAAAATAAATTTTTAAAAAAAGAATTAACCAATGATTCTTTCTCAAATCAATAAACATTTTTTTTAAAGCCCCTTTGCTGGAGGCAAAGACCAACAAGTAGTTAGCATAATAAATTCAAGAGGTCTGTCAGAAGGCTGATGGACATTGGGGCTTTAGCAAGGGCTAAAAGCTATACACAGATTGTTCTGTGGCGACAATGGTGGCTCAGGGCGATCCTGTAACCTGATAATCTTTTACTGTTTACCAAACCTTACCTTTGATATGTCTGTTTGGTTTGCTAAAGGGCAAATGTATATTCTAGTAAATAAAAAGCAGTGGGTCCGGAGATTTGGGGAGCCAATTCCATTAGAGAGTAGGTTTCTGCCTGGCTACCCTCAATGCCTTCTAAATTTATATTTCTTATCTAGTATATCCATTTGCATGTGGACCCTTCTCCAGATTCTGAATCTTTGCTGCAAAAGGTTGCAGCACCCCTTTAGCTCTAGCTGGTTTGGCTCAGTGGATAGAGCATTGCCTGACCACTGAAGGGTCCCAGGTTCAATTCCAGTCAAGGGCACATGCCTGTGTTGCAGGGTCCATCCCAGTAGGGGACATGCAGGAGGCAGCCAATCAATGATTCCCCATCATCATTGATGTTTCTCTCTCTCCTCCTCCTCTTCCTTTCCTCTCCGAAATCAAGAAATAATATATATATATATTTTTTAAAAGTCCCTTTAGAAATAACTAGTTGAGCTCTACTACTAACTAGATTGTAAAAATCTGAAAAGAGCATTACTCCCACCCTGACCAACAAAGCTGGAGAAAAGGGTTTCCCAGACCTAATCCTAGTGTGTATGTGGAGGCTTCCTCATACCACCAAGCACTGGACACCAGCAGGGTCCCTGTCTGAGATTTCACAGGTCAAGATCTCGGGCCCACAAGTTGTTCTCCACTTCAGACTGGCTTATACATCAGAACTCCTCTAGTTTGATTAATTTGATTAATTTTCTAGAATGGTTCCCAGGATGAAAAACCTATTTATTTACTCATTGGATTACTGATTTATTTATTGCAAAGGCTATTAATGGACATGAATCAATAGCCAGATGAAGACATATACAGGGCGAGGTCTCACATGAAGAAGCTTCTCTCCTCCTGAAGGTTGGGCCCTAGTGATGCTGGGGGCACCCAGGGAGGCCAAGGGAGGCCTCGACCTCTAGCTCCGAGGGTGCGTGTTTTCTATAGCAGACTGAACAACTTACAGTTCTTGCTCCCTCTGGCTCTCAGGCCTTGACATAGAATGCTCCCTTTGCTTGGAATAGTTCCCTTGGATTCATTCACTTGGCCTCTGCTACCCTGTTGCTTGGCAAATGCTTATGTACTTTGCTAGGTTTTCTTTTACTTACACCTTGGGAAGCTGCTCTTGACACTTAGAGTATGCTGCCATTAAAGGTCATGCATAATACACAGATAGTTGAGCCCCGGGACTCAAACAAAAATACTATTTTTACTGTTAAATAACTCAGTATTAAATATTTCTAAAAATCTTGTATTTCTTATTTAACTTATTTAAAAGCATGTTTTCAAATTCTCAAATGTATGGATATTTTTTATCTTTTAATTATTGACATCTATTTTGATTGCATTGCAATAAGAATATGATCTTTTTGATACCAAGCCTTTAAAATTTGTTTAGTTTTCCTTTATTCCCTGGTACATGTTGGTCAATTTAAGCAAATGTGCTGCACATTCTTAGAAAGATGAATAAGATGAATTCTTTATATTATTTGTTGTATAGCTTTGTCTGATTAAGTCAAGTTGTTGTTTCTGAAACCTCCTATATCCTTACTATTTTTGTGTGCTTAACCTAACAATAATTTAGAGCAGGGGTGGGCAAACTTTTTGACTCGAGGGCCACAATGGGTTCTTAAACTGGACCGGAGGGCCGGAACAAAAGCATGGATGGAGTGTTTGTGTGAACTAATATAAATTCAAAGTAAACATCATTACATAAAAGGGTACGGTCTTTTTTTTCAATAGTTTTATTCATTTCAAACTGGCCGGATCCGGCCCTCGGGCCGTAGTTTGCCCACGGCTGATTTAGAGAGATTCTGTTGAAATCACCTGCTTTGGTAGCATACTTATCAACTTTTCCTTGAATTTCCACCATTTTTTGCATTTTACATTTTGATGTAATTTTAATATAGTTCTATATGTTGATACAATAAGAAAGTTACAATACTTCAGAGTATATTGTATAATGAGCCTCTCTTAAAATCTGAAACAAATATCCTTTTTAACCACTTCAATATCCTTGAAATTCTTCCAAACATATTATGAAAACTAATCAATATGAGTATTAATCAGTGGAGTGTATATAAATTTTTGTACAAAAAGATCAGAATAAATTCTAATGTAACAGGTGGTGTATTAGTTTTCTATTGCTGCTGTAACAAATCACCACACAGTGGCTTAAAAACAACACTTTTCCCCCCCTCTGTTATAGTTCTGGAGGTCAGAAGTCTGACATGAGTCTCACTGGGCTAAAATCAAGGTTTGACCAGGGCTGCATATTCCTTTCTGGAAGCTCCAAGGGACCATCCATTTCCTTCCTCTTTCCAGCTTCTATAGGCTGCCTGCATTCCTTGGCTCATGTCCATCCACTTTTAAGCCAATAATGTCAGGCCAAACCATTCTCACACTGTCACTTTCTGGTTCTCATCCTCTGCCTCCCTCTTCCACTAATAATGACCTATGTGATGATACCCATCTAGGTATTTCATCTCCCCAGCTCAAGGTCAGCTGATAACTTTCCTCCCATCTGCAACCTCAATTCCCCTGTGCCACGTTGTCTAACATATTCACAGATCCTGGAATTAGGTCATGGCTATCTCTGGCTATAACTATGATAATCAGACTACTGAGTAAGGATGGGATGCCATGTTTAACAACACAGACAGCAATCATCCTTGCAACTAAAACGAAGACTCTGGGGTGGATTTCTTCTTCTTCTTTTTTTTTTTTTTTTGTATTTTATTTTATCAGTAATTTCCCCTTAATATTCATTTCATTAAACAAATACGGTTAAACACCTGCTCTGTGCCAGAGCTCATGCCAGTCACTGGGGATCAGTAAAGTCATTCATTAATTCAATACATATTTATTGAGTGCCTGCTACTCAATAGGAACTCAATACAGCAGGAACTCTTCTAGGTTATTTAAGCTCCTAAAACAGCTTACATTTTAGTGGGGGGAGACTGACAATAAACAAGGAAAATATACAGATGATGATAAATACTGTGAACCAAAATACGGAAATAAACAACAACACAGGAATGGGGCATAGCAGAGACTTAAAGTGGCCAAAGAAGGCCTCTTTCATAAGATGACATTTGAGGAGAGATCTGAAGTTGAGAAGCGAGCCGGCATATGAATAAGGTTGAGGAAAAGGGTCCAGGAGGAGCAGCCAGTGCAGAGTCACAAAAAGCTGGAGCAGGCCCCGCATCTCCAGATAAAGCACTGGGGCCAGTGCAGCTGACGGGGAGTGGGCTGCAGGAAGAGAAGCGGAGATGAGTAAGGGGGGCGGCAAGGAGCAGGAATCCCCACGGTCTTACTCATTTCGAGGCTCTGGTTGGGAGGGGAATAAGATAAAAGGGTCTGCGCAGGGAGTGACAATACAATTAAATTACTTTCATAACATCCCGTTATTAACTTGCCAAAACAAAACCTTCCTGAAGCCCGGCCAGCCTGGCTCAGTGGTGGAGCATCAGCCTGTGAACCAGGAGGTCACGGTTCGATTCCCGGTCAGGTTGCAGGCTCAGTCCCCAGTGCGGGGTGCATCTTCCTCCAGGTGTCAGGCTCCCGGGTCATCAGAGTTTCTAAATTTGGGGCCTCAAGCAGGGACAATGGAAGCCAGGGTTCCGCGGACCGCGGGGAGCCCACAGAGCCCCCTGCGCTCTTTCAGTCCCATCTCTGTTCGCCCACCCCCGCGTCCTCTCCTCGGCCTTTCGGATGGCAAGGGTCGCGGGTAGAAACGCGCACCCCAAGCAGCCTGAGCCTCAGCGAAACCCTCCCGCAGGAAACCGCACGGGAGCCTAAGGCGGGGCCAAACTACGCGCGCGCGCTGACGTCAGGAGGACGCACGCGCGCGCCGGCCCCGCCCACAACCCGACCGCGGGTTTTCCGGCGGGAGCGGAGCCGCGGTGTGGAGGTGACACCGCGGTTTGCTCCGTGAGACCCGCTGGCCGCGGGCTGCGCCGTCCCCGGCAGCCGCCAGAATGTCGCACGTGGAAAACGTGGTGCTTTGTCGCGAGTCCCAAGTGTCCACGTTGCAGTCCCTGTTCGGAGAGGTATTGTGCTCAAGCTCTGTTGTCCAAGTCCCGGAGGCAAACGTTTCCGTGGTCTTGCGATGTGTTTCTTTTTAAAACACATTCCGCGTGTGGATCGAGGGTGAATAGACCGTCGGTTGCGTTGAGATAGGGCGTGTTGTCCGTCCCCCCCTTTCCCTTCGCACTAAAGAACTTGTGTTGGACCCTTTTACTCGAGAAAACTGCACCGGAAGGACCGGCCTGCGCGGCAGGATGTGGGTGCGGGACCAGTGCATTCCCACGCGCCACCCTCGGGAGAACTCAGAGTAGCCAGGAGCAGTTGCTTCTTTTTTTTTTTTTTAAGTATATTTTATTGATTTTTTACAGAGAGGAAGGGAGTGGGGTAGAGAGTTAGAAACATCGATGAGAGAGAAACATCGATCAGCTGCCTCCTGTACCCCCGCCCACCCCCCACTGGGGATGTGCCTGCAACCAAGGTAAATGCCCTTGACCTGAATCGAACCTGGGACCGTTAAGTCCGCAGGCCGATGCTCTAGCCACTGAGCCAAACCGGGTAGGGCGAGCAGCTGCTGCTTATCTCCCCGCCGCTGAGCAGGGTGCTATCTTCTCCACCTGAACAGGAGCGTTTGCAGAGTGTCAGTTACTCCAGTGCAAGTTCGCACGTTCCAGTGGGGCACTCGGTGTAAGTCTGGTGTGGGTAGATCCCCGAGGGGCCAGGCGGTGCTTCTGGTTCGAAAGCTCAGCGGCTTTTCCAGGATGGTACCAGCCCCGAGGAGGCCGGGGCTACCCTGGCAGGCTAGCGGGCAGATGCTGTCGGACAGAAGAGGTTAAGTGTCGTCTTCTCTTGGGGGGACCCAGCCAGGGGAGTCCTTTTCATAGGCAGGAGGTAGCAGTCACCAGTACAGGACTTCATCTATTTTTTATTATGTGCTCACCTTTGGGGAGGCCTTTCGATTTCTACGCATCCTGTAGACAGTAATGAATCAGGCTTGGATTTGATTCCTTTTCTTTAAAGGTGAAATATAGTATTTGACAGGGTTCTTGTTCCAGCCTCTAGAAGGGTTCAGCAATCTGGAGAAGGGCTGTGTGTAACTTAATAAAGAGTCCAGAGACGAAATATAATTTTGAAAGGCATTATAGGGAGTCAGAGGAGCCTAGCTAAAGAAACTAAGATCTCCTTGTCTCAGGACCCCTTGCTATTTATTAACACAAATTGTCCTAAGGCAAGGTGGAGTTATACACTTGAAAGGGTAGGGTTAGGTACAGAATCCATTATTGGATGAATTTGCCTACGGCTGTTCAGGTGTTTGGCCAGTAGGAGGCAATAACATGTAGCTTAAGATGCCCTGAGCTATCTGGCAGCAAGCAATCATCCCTTTTCAGGTTTGGGGAAATGCCCTAAGCCATTCCCAACAGGTGACAACATATGTGACTCAGCCCTTGTTGGGTCCCCACGTTCCATCAACCTTTTGATGAAACTCTTGCAATTATGACATGCTGGAATTGGCTTCTGGCATTGTTTGTATAGTGACAATTCTCAGCAAGTGTGTGTTTAATTATTGGGACAGGATTTTTTTTTTAATATATTTTTATTGATTTCAGAGAGGAAGGAAGAGGGAGAGAGACAGATAGAAACATCCATGATGAGAGAGAATCATGGATCGGCTGCCTCCTGCAAGTCCCCCACTGGGGATTGAGCCCACAACCCAGGCATGTGCCCTTGACCGGAATCGAACCTGGGACCTTTCAGTTTGCAGGCTGATGCTCTGAGCAAAACTGGCTAGGGCTGGGACAGAATTTTTGAGCCAGTTAATTTACAAGATTGTTTGATACATTATTAAAAAGGGATTAATATATTAAAATATCAATTTTTAGTTTATTTAGAAATTATTTTTCTGTATACATCTGATTTTCAATTTGTCTTGCAAAAGGAAATGTATAACTTAGTGGCTAGAATCCTATATAATAAAACCCTAATATGCAAATCGACCGAACGGTGGAATGACCAGTCACTATGACGGGCACTGACTCCCAGGGGGTAGATGCTCAACACAGGAGCTGCCCCCTGGTGGTCAGTGTGCTCCCACAGGGGGAGCACTGCTCAGCCAGAAGCCGGGCTCACGGCTGTCGAGTGCCACGGCCAGTGGCAGGAGCCTCTCTTGCTTCTGTGGCAGCGCTAAGGACCCAACAGGTGGACATCCCCCAAGGGGTCCCGGGCTGCAAGAGGTCGCAGGTCTAGTTGAGGGACATATGCCCCTAACCCCCGCCCCTATTCCTCCACCCCCACCCCCAGAGCACGAATGCCATGCACTGGGTCTCTAGTATAATAAATGTTTTTTATGACTATTGTAGTGTTACATGATGATCATAGAGACTCATGAAAATGGCATCATCCAGTTTTCTTGTAATTTTTTTTAAAATGTATGTCTTCTCACTAGACTCTAAACTTCTCCAAAGCAGATTTTGGCTTTAACTGATATTTATTTATTTACTTATTTAAAATATATTTTATTGATTTTTCACAGAGAGGAAGGGAGAGGGATAGAGAGTTAGAAACATCGATGAGAGAGAGAAACATCAACCAGCTGCCTCCTGCACACCCCCCACTGGGGATGTGCCCACAACCAAGGTACATGCCCTTGACTGGAATCAAACCCAGGACCCTTCAGTCCGCAGGCCGACGCTCTAGCCACGGAGCCAAACTGGTCAGGGCTTTAACTGATATTTATACTCTTCAGTGCATCATTGTTTTCAGCATTTAAAAGGTTTCTAATAAATATTCATTTTATCACTGAAATATATTTGTAGTATTACTTTTTGCTAGGCAGTTGACTCTTAATGTCCTGCAGGAGAATCTTGGAAATATGTATTTTGAAATGTATGCTATGTAAATTTTATCTTTTTTGATGAGGTAAGTTTAATATGCATAACTTGAAAGTATCCTGTAAGTTTTTTTTAAGAGAGGACCCTTGATGTTATTCTAACCCAGTGATTACATTTGTTTAGTTTCGAAGCTTTAAAATGTATAATGAAGTTGCAGCTTATGTGGGATTATCTTATCCTATATAATAAAGAGGTGATATGCAAATTGACCCTCACACCCTCACAAGATGGCTGCCTATGACCAGGCCGGCAGGGGGGGTTAGTGAAGGATGACCAAACGACTGAACAAGCAGGCTGCATGGGGTGACTAGGCCGGCAGGGGGCTTAGTGAGGGATGACCAAATGACTGAACAAGCAGGCTGCATGGGGAGACCAGGCTGGTGGGGGGGAGGGGGGGCCAGTTAGGGGCAACCAGGCTGGCAGAGGAGGGCAGTTGGGGGCGACTAGGCTGGCAGAGGGGGAGTTAGGGGCAATCAGGCTGGCGGGGGGGGGGGTGCAGTTAGGGGTGATCAGGCAGGCAGGCAGGTGAGCGATTAGGAGTCAGCCGACCAGGATTGTGAGAGGGATGTCCGACTGCCGGTTTAGGCCCGATCCTCAAGATCAGGCCTAAACCGGCAGTCGGACATCCCCAAGGGGTCCTGGATTGGAGAGGGTGTAGGCTGGGCTGAGGGGACCCCCTCCCTCATGCATGAATTTCGTGCACTGGGCCTCTAGTAGTCTTTATAAAAGGAATTAGATAAAAATGGATAGCCTGGCTGGGTGGCTCAGTTGGTTGGTCATTGTCCTGTGTATCCCAAGATGGTGGGTTCATGCCAAGCACATGCCGGGGTTGCAGGCCGATTCCAAGTGTGGGGCATGCAGGAGGCAGCTAATGGATGTTTTGCTCTCACCTTAATGTGGTCAAAATTATCCTTGAAAAATCTCTTAAATATCCTATAAAATCTCCTTTGAAAATATAAGAGTTTTTATTATATATATAATAATATAAAAAGTATGAGTATATGTAGTATATAATAAGCCAAATATAATTTTTCAGAAATTTTAATTTCTTAACAGAGAAAGTGCTTAGACTTGAATGCAAGTAAATTCGAAGTATGGTGATGACACCACTTTATGCTCACTGCTAAAATAATTTGAATTGAATATTTTACTTTACCACATAAAACTTTCTTGCGAGCTAATAAATGTTTATTTTCTGTTTTGTATGTACAGTCTGATAATCATCTTTTCTTCTCTAGAGACATCATTTCAGCTTTCCATCCATTTTTATTTATGGACATACTGCCAGTGGAAAGACCTATGTCACACAAACTTTGTTAAAAACTTTAGAGGTAAGAATAAATCCCCTCTCCCCCCAAAAAAGAATAACCCCAAACTACGTGTTAATTGATTTGTGCTCACAGTCTTAGAAATGGAAGGGATCTGGGAGATTATTTAGTCCAGTTTACCTTTCTCTGAAGGAATATCTATCTATCCTATCTAATAATAGAGAAACATGGTAATTAACCGTAACTTCGCTACCCTTCCCATTGGCTAATCAGTGAGATATGCAAATTAACTGCCAACCAAGATGGCGGCCGGCAGCCAGGCAGCTGAAGCAAGCCAGGCTTGCTTGCTTCAGTGATGGAGGAAGCCAAGGTTCCCTGCCTGCCGCTGCCGGCCTCTGAGCTTGCACTGTAAGAAACAATGTTGCAATTATAGAAGCTAAACAAACCCCAGAAACCTGCTTTCAGCCCTCAGAGCTGGAGCAAGCAGGACCGCAACAGTGTTACAATTATAGAACCCAAACAAACCCAGATACCTGCTTTCAGCAGCCGAGGTCTCAGAGCTGGAGCCGAGCCTCAGAGCTAAAGCTGGCTCTCAGTTCCAGTGACAGCCATAGAAGGTAAATAAATCCCAGAATAAAAAAAAAAAAAAAAAAAGAAAGAAAGAAAAAAAGGAGAGGTTGGGAGCTTCAGTCACCCGCCAGCCTGAAAACGGCCCTCAGCCCCTCACCCAGACTGGCCAGGCACCCCAGTGGGGACCCCCACCCTGAAGGGTGTGTGACCAGCTGCAAACAGCCATCATCCCCTCATCCAGGCTGGCCAGGCACCCCAGTGGGGACCCCCACCCTGATCCAGGACACCCTTCAGGGAAAACCAGCCGGCCCCCACCCATGCACCAGGCCTCTATCCTATATAGTAAAAGGGTAATATGAAAACTGACCCTAACAGCAGAAAGACTGGGAATGACTGGTCACTATGACACACACTGACCACCAGGGGGCAGATGCTCAATGCAGGAGCTGCCCTCTGGTGGTCAGGGCGCTCTCACATGGGAGGAGCTCTTCTTAGCCAGAAGCCAGGCTGATGGCTACCAGTACAGCGGTGGTGGTGGGAGCCTCTCCTGCCTCCTCAGCAGCTCTAAGGATGTCCGATTGTAGTTTAGGCCTGCTCCCTGCTGGCAAGAGGGCTGCCGGGCTGCCAGAGGGATGTCTGATTGCCATCTTAGGCCCAATCCCCCCGGGAGCGGGCCTAAGCTACAGGTGGTCATCCCCTGAGGGGTCCCAGACTGCATGAGGGCACAGGCTGGGCTGAGGGGCCTCCCCTTCCCCCCAAGTGCACAAATTTTTGTGCACCGGGCCTCTATTCTATATATAAAAGGCTAAGGGACCATCTGACCTGCTGGTAGATAGATATGATGCGCACTGACCACCAGGGAGCAGATGCTCAACACAGGAGCTGCTGAGCTGCAGTGACTTGGCAGCGACAGCTCTCTAGTGATGCACCTGGAACCAGAGAGGAGGGAGCCCGATTCCGGGGTGTGTCACCCAAGAACCGCCCTCACAATCTGGGACCCCTTGGGAGGTGTCGGAGAGCCGGTTTCGGCCCCATCCCTGCAGGCCAGGTCAATGGACCCCACCTGCTGGAGGGACCTTGCTCACTGCACCTATGACCTTTGAGCCGCAGCGCCACCCCAGGTGCGGCTGGCTGGGGAGGGACCTCGGGAGGTTGGCTCCAGCGCATGTCCAGCCCATCTTGCCCAGTCCCACCCTGCCCAGTCCTGCCCCGCCAGCCACCTTCTAATTAATTTCCTTTCAATGTGCACAGATCTGTGCACTGGGGCACTTGTCATCTACATAAAACATTTTTGACCAACTTTTGTTTGAATACCTTCAAAGACTGTAAACTTCAGAAGGGATTGTTAGATAACTTGAGCCTTGATGTTAATTATTTTTTATTTTTAACTTTCATTGGCTGATAATATTTGGGGGAAAACACACATGAAGAAAAATTCTTCAAAAAATATTAAAATGTTTCCTTTCCATTGTTGTTTTTATAATATTGATACTGATAATTCTGAATCTTCACATATACAAAACCTACTATATCTCCTTTACCCTGCCTTTTTCCCCATATTGTCTATCAGAGTGAATGGTCTCAATATTAACATAGTTGTCAAAAAACTTTCCCTTTATTCCTTACTCATCCTCACTCTTTCAGTAAATTGAACTGGTAAATGTGTTCTATTCATTCTACATTATTAATGTCTTGACTTCATCTACCTTTAATCATAGCCATAACTAATTCAGTTCCATGAGGTCTGAAAGGTTGGCGACCTCTGGTTTAAGGAAACCTTTGGAACAGTGGTCGCCAACCAGTGGTCTGTGGACCACTGGTGGTCCGTGAGGTCCGAAAGGTTGGTGACCGCTGCTCTAGGAGGGTTACTATGGTTTCTAACTCAAAATCCTTTTTTTAAAAAAAATCTAGGTTCATTCAGCATTAAGGACATTATCTAAAATTCTAAATGTGAAATTTCTACTAAAAATTTTCACATTCAAATGTACTTGGGTTTCTTTATAAGAATTCTGTAGAAGAAAATACAAGTTTACTTTGAATCCCTGTAGGAAACAAAGGGCAAACTTAAATAATTAAGTTTAATAAAGAGACTATTTTACAAAGGTTGAAGAAATGTTAAGGAACCAATAAGGAATGGTGAAGCAGTGATAGTCTTTACCCCTCCCAGACCTGAACTAGCCAGAGAAAGGAGTTGTTACCAGACCCCAGCAAGAACTGTAGCCTTTGAATATGAGCTGCCCAACTGGGACTGTGGCCTTTGATAGGAGGTCATAGCCACTGTCAAATTGTGGGCCTCTGAGGCGTGGGGCTGGGAATCAAAGGAATAAATATTCATCTTCTCTCTCTTACTCCTCTACTTCTTTCAGTTTCTTGCTGGTTCTTCCTATTGGCTGAATCCAGTCGGTGCTAGAAAAGAAGAGAGAGTCTGGGCGATACAGTGTGTAATGTTCAGACTCCTGGGTCACAGAGTAGGTTGGAAGATTATGGGATATTGGTTCTGAAGGGTAAATGGGAAATATCTAGCAAAGCCATACTTGTGTATGTGTTTTCTTTTCTATTTACGCTTTTTTGTTTGTTTTCAGCTCCCACATGTCTTTGTGAATTGTGTTGAATGTTTTACGTTGAAGCTGCTTTTGGAACAAATTTTAAACCGGTTGAATTACCTTAGTTCTTCAGAGGATGGATGTTCTACTCAAATAACCTGTGACACATTTAATGACTTTGTTCGCTTGTTTAAACAAGTAACCAAGGCTAAAAGTCTCAAGGATCAGACTGTATATATTGTAAGTATTTAAGTCCATTATATCATCTCTTATTTTCATGTTCTCCATGAAAATACATATATATACTATATCTATTTTACATATACCTACTATATATGTATATCACATATATGTCATTCTTAAAACTTTATACATGTACTTTTCTCTCTATATAGTGTATATACTATATATCTCTAAAAAATAAGTACCTTAAAGAAAAACCAGTCCCAATAGCATTGTCTTCACACTGATTAAATTTTATCTTTTTTAACATGATCCGTTTGCCAGTTAAACAGGATTTAGCATGCAGTTAAAGTTCAAGCAATAAAAATTTCACATGATAGCCCGGCTGAGGTGGCTCAGTGATTGAGCATCAACCTATGAACCAGGAGGTCAGGGTTCAATTCCCGGTCAGGGCACATGCCCAGGTTGCAGGCTCAATCCTCAGTGTGAGGTGTGCAGGAGGCAGCCAATCAATGATTTTCTGTTATCACTGATGTTTCTATCTCTCTCCCACTCCCTTCCTCTCTGAAATAAAAATATATTGGGAAAGAAAGAAGTTTTCCATGATGAAATTCAGAATTTTCTGTCTCTCCCTTGCTTGGGTCAGAAATAGCTGTAGTTTTTGCTTCATGGTAGACATTTATCTTTTTATTAAATGGAATAAAAAATGCACATGATTGTATTTCTTAGAAACCTAAGAAAATGTCCTTAGAGCATCTTGCATCCTTATCTTTTTTTATAGTATACCTGTAAAATAAACCTTTTCAATGTAGGTCAAAATGACTCATTTTCTATTTAGAAATTTGAGTTAAAATATGTTATAAATAGTCCATTTTTTTAAACTTATTTTACCTATTTAAAATGTCTTCCACAAATGTAAATAGCAAAAATTAAGTTTTTTCTTTTCAACATGGCAAGTTCAAGTCTTGAATTGTATATTATCAATCTTTATAATATGTGTAACATAATGGTAAATGTTTTCTAAAGGGCTTTGCAAATTGATTGATCCTGCATTTTTTTTTTTATAAGGTTCTAGATAAAGCAGAATATCTAAGAGATATGGAAGCGAATATTTTGCCTGGGTTTCTTAGGTTACAAGAATTGGTAAGTAATGTTTGAGATCTTTTTCCTCTATTGCCTAATCAATAGACTGTATTGTCAACTTTTTTCCTTTTGCCAATCTGATAGGTGAGAAATGGCATCCTATCTAATAAAAGAGAAACATGGTAATTAGTGTACGGCCGCTACCCTTCCCATTGGCTAATCAGGGCAATATGCAAATTAACTGCCAGCCAAGATGGCGGCCGGCAGCCAGGCATCTTGAAACTAACATGAGGCTTGCTTGCTTCAGTGACGGAGGACTCCAACGTTCCCTGCCTGCCGCTGCAGGCCTCTGAGCTGCAACTCTAAGCAACTATGTTACAAATATAGAAGCTAAACAAAACCCCAGAAACCTGCTTTAGTCCGTCGGGCTTCAGCCAGCAGGATCGCAACATTGTTTCAAATACAGAAGGTAAACAAAGGCCAGAAACCTGCTTTCAGCAGCAGAGGCCTAAGAGCTGGAGCCAAGCCTCAAAGCTAAAGCTGGCCCAGAATAAAAAAAAGAAAAAAAGGAGCGGTTGGGAGCTTCAGTCACCCACCAGCCTGAAAACAGCCCTCAGCCCCTCACCCAGACTGGCCAGGCACCCCAGTGGGGACCCCCACCCTGAAGGGTGTGTGACCAGCTGCAAACAGCCATCATCCCCTCACCCAGGCTGGCCAGGCACCCCAGTGGGGACCCCCACCCTGATCCAGGCAGCGCCCCAACCCCCACCCCACAGGCCCTGCTCTGTGTGTGATGGGGTAGAGCCATAACCTCCCCATCGGCCCTGCCCTGAGTGTGACAGTGGCGGCGCCCCAACCCCCTGATTGGCCCTGCTCTGTGGGTGATAGAGGGCAGTGCCCCAACCCCCTGATCTGCCCTGCTCTGTGTGTGACAGGGGGCGGTGCCCCAACTCCGCTATCGGCCCTACTCTGTGAGTGACGGGGGAGCTCCTCAACCCCCTGATCGGCCCTGCTCTGTGCGTGACGGGGCAGTACCCCAACCCCCTGATTGGCCCTGCTCTGTGCGTGACGGGGTGGCGCCGCAACCTCCCCATCGACCCTGCTCTGTGCATGACAGGGGGCGGTGCCCCAACCCCCCAATCGGCCCTACCCTGAGTGTGACTGAGGGTGGCATCACAACCTCCCAATCCACCCTGCTCTGTGCATGACAGGGGGCGGTGCCCCAACTCCCCAATCAGCCCTGCTCTGAGCCCAACCAGGGGCTGCACCTAGGGATTGGGCCTGCCCTCTGCTACCCGGGAGCAGGCCTAAGCCAGCAGGTCGTTATCTCCCGAGGGGTCCCAGACTGCGAGAGGGCACAGGCCGGGCTGAGGGACCCCCCCTCGCCCCCCCGAGTGCACAAATTTTTGTGCACCAGGCCTCTAGTCTATATATATAAAAGCCTAAGCAACCAAATGACCGGTTGACCAGTTGCTATGATGCACATTGACCACCAGATGGCAGATGCTCAATGCAGGAGCTGCCCTCAAGTGGTCAGTGCACTCCTACAGCCAACCTCCCATGATCCCTACCTTCCAGTCCCCCCCTCCCCCCCCTCCATCTGACCAACCTCCCATGGTCCCTGCTCTACCTCCCCCCTCAGGCTGGCCAACCTCTCGTGGTCCCTAACCCCTGTGGCCAGCCAACCTCCTGTGGACCCTCCCCCTGGCTGGCCAACCTCCCGTGGTCCCTCCCTCTGGCCATCCGGCCCCCTCATCTCCCCCATTGGCCCCAATCGCCGGCCAGGCTGAGGAACCCCACCTGTGCACAAATTTGTGCGCCAGGCCTCTAGTCTTAATATATTAATTTGCATTTCTCTATTATGAGTGAAATTAATGTTTTTTCAAAGTTAAAGCAACTTGTGACTTGATAACTTCACTTTCAGCTTTTTATTTGTAATTGTGACTAACACTGCCTTCTAGTAAAAGATTTTAGGTGTTTGCTAGACTAAATGGCAGTGGACTTAACTTGGAACTTCCTGCAAGAATTTTAAAAGTTTCTTTTCATTTCAGTAATTTAAAAAAAGAATTCTACGTCTAGTCTGGATCACCTTGAGTTCAGTATCATGGTCACTCAGTGTTAGAACCAGCTTTGTATTTTAATTTACAATTATGTTGTCACTGAATAGTAATAGTAAGGGTCATGGCCTACATAAAGAGCAGGCATCTTTTTTCATGTGCATATGTGTCGGGTGAAAGCCAAATAGTATTGCAAAAAACAGGATTTTATAATAGTTTAAGTAAGGAAAATTGGTGAGAAAATTCATTGTTCACCAATACCAGTTATATAGGAATGCTCAACTCAGAAGAACTTGCTGATTCCTATTGGAATTGTGTTCACAAAGTGAGCAAAGATTTAGTTTGAACAAACAGTATTATTTATCATATTCAGTTAATGTCAATTTAAATTTTTTTGCTTTTCTAAATTTTTCACTAACTTACACATTTATGTTGATTTTATATTTTCCTTTTTTCTAATGTTTTTATTGATTTCAGAGAGAGGAAGGGAGAGGGATAGAAATATCAATGATGAGAGAGAATCATTGATCGGCTGTCTCCTGCACACTCCCTGCTGAGGATCGAGCCCACAACACTGGCATGTGCCCTGATGGGGAATCAAACCAAGCATGATCTCCTGGTTCGTGCTCAACCACTGAGCTACACCGGCCAGGCTGATTTTATATTTTTCTAAGTGCTTTGAGCATAAATAGTTTATATTTACCTAGTTTTATATCTGTATTATTTAAGTATTAAGTAACATTATAACGAAAATTAAGTAAATATTTGGGGAGATAGTGCTTAGAGCATTTCCGCCTTGAAAAGTTAAATACATTACTCACATTTGAGAAACTGCTAGAAGTACAGAGAAACTTTCCAAATGCCACTGAAATTGTGTGCCTAAGGCTGAATCCTGAAATTCACAGTTAGTAATAGTATTCTGGGGCCAATCTGGAGAGGACAGGAAGAAAATAACTATAGTTCTTGGTGGCCTATCCTGGAAGTTTCCTCACACAGTCCAGCCTTTCCCAGTTTGATTAATTCTTGGCGTTTTACCACTGAGATCAGGGACCCATCCTGTGTGAGCAGATGTCTCCTGTCTTCAACTATTTTGTTGTGTTTGCATCCACATCCACTATTTCCCATTGCTTTGGTCTAGAACTCCCTGTCTGGTATCCAGAGTGCATTCCTGCTGTCTCTTGCCTTTCCAGTATAGCTTACCCCATTTTCCCCCTCATGTTCAGTAATGGTGATTACGCTTCCCCTTTACAGCAGTAGGCCTTTCACTTTTGTTTTAGTTTTAATTATATAAACTGAAGGAAATGAAAAGATGCACAGTAATGTTCATCTATCAGAAAAGATCGCTATTTGACATTTCTGAAAACATGCTTGATTTTAAAAAAAAAATGTATTTAATTTCAGAGAAATATAGCAAAAGCATTTCCCAGTTTTTATATTAAATATTTGAGTAAAATGAATGGGTATTGTATATTGAAGTACTTTCAGATGAACAGATGAGAACATTACCAACTTAAAATCCTTTCATGCTGACAAATACAATTCTTTAATCTCAATATTTTAAACTGATTTTATGAAATGCTTTTTAACTGATTTTATAAAATGTTTTTGAATAATCATTTTAAAGCAAAAACAACTCAATGCTTTGAATCAAGATTGTGTTTAGAGCATGCTTTTTTATCCCTATAGAAATAAATTCAAGGATTCTTAAAAATTAATGCATTTATAAGATAAAAATAGCATTTGAAAGTAAAAATATTTTTCTTTCTTTCATAAACATGCTAAATTTTTGTGGAATTATTAATTTATTGAACTTAGCTGCTTTTGTTAGCCAAAATGATTTTTTCTAAATAATGAAAATTGGAATATAAGATTATACATAAGATAGGAATCAAGCCTTAGCCAGTTTGGCTCAGTGGATAGAGTGTCATGGAAGGGTCCTGGGTTTAATTCCGATCAGGGTAGGTACTTCTGTTGCAGGCTTTTTCCCCAGCCCTGGTCAGGGCACGTGCGGGAGGCAACCAATCGATGTGTTTCTCTCACATAGATGTTTCTCTCTTCTCTAACTCTTCCCCCTTCCAGTCTCTCTAAAAATCAATGGGAAAATATCCTCAGGTGAGGATTAACGGGGGAGGAGGGAATATAGGCATCAATAAAAAGTAAATCACTATCAAAGTATAGTATAATTTGTGAGATAGTGTTCTAAGAATAGTTATAGAACAAAACAGCGTTCACTTTTGTTTTAGTTTTAATTATGGAAACTGAAGAAAATAAAAGATGCACAGCAATTTCCACTCTACCAGAAAAGAGAATTGATGTTGAAGCTGCTTGTCAACTTGGGAGATGTCAAAAAGAATGTGGGAAAAATTAAAATTGGTGTTGAGAATGCAGAGGTATCTACAGATAAGTTCTAGCGAGCATGCATAGGGCGTTTCTGGCCCCTTTGTAGAAGGATAACAGTCACAGTGGGCTGTTCTCAATGTTCTTTTTGTATACTAGTTATAATTTCTAAATATACTTCAAAAGATATCTGTTTACTTAACAGTGGTGTTTTAGATCAGAGTTATTTGTGTTTTTAATGTATATGCAAAGTCAATTTTAGTAATTTGTGTGAAAATATTCTTTAAAACAACTTTTAAGTTTTTCTAACAATAATATGTGGTTACATAATATGGCTTAATCTGTTTTTCTTCAACTCATATTTCTTTTTTCTGAATTACTGTAGCCATTTTAATGATGAGAGATGTTAAGTTTTGCCTTTTTTTGATTGTTTATTAATTGAAAGCTAATGATTTCTTTGAAAATTCCCATAAAAAGGTTTTGTCTTAACTATTTATGCGTATGTTTCTTAATTTCTATAAAATAAGTCCTAGCATTCATGGATAACTGAAATGCTGATTAACCTAAAAGTTTTATGGAAATTCCCATGTAATTATGTATAAAAATTTGCAAGTAGATGAACTCCTTGATTAGGTTTTCTAAATATGGTGTGTTAATATGCAAATAATTTGTTACATGTTGGAACTTTGTCCGATTTATTTGAAAGAAAGATTCAAATGGAATTGCTCTGATTAAGATTTTTAAATGCCAAGTTAATTTTATTACTTTTTTCTTTTACAGACTGACAGAAATGTGACTGTTATCTTTCTCAGTGAAATTATTTGGGAAAAATTCCGTCCAAATACTGGATGCTTTGAACCATTTGTCTTGTATTTCCCTGATTATAGCATAGGTAAATTTTAAAACATTGTTTTGACAAGTGATATTCAGTAAAATAGTCTGTGGAAGATTAAGCTAGCATGTTTAAATGGGAATACTCCCAAGTCTTAATCTGTTAAAGTTTACATCCAATCTCAAAATGTTGCTTGTCTTTCTGCATTTATAGAGGTTTTATTTTGGAACTCGGAGGAGTTATTTTTCTGTAATTACTAATATTTTTTTAATAAGCACTTCTCACATATTTGTGCTAGTGGTTTGTTTTTACATTTTTAGCTAGTACATTATGATGTATATATTGTCCTAGCAGGTTTGGCTCAGTGGATAGTTCGTGGACTGAAGGGTCCCAGGTTCGATTCAAGGGCCTGTGCCTTGGTTGCAGGCTCAATCCCTGGCCCTGGTCAGGGCATGTGTGGGAGGCAACCAATCTATGTGTGTCTCTCACATTGATGTTTCTCTCTCTCTGTCTCTCCCCCTCCCTTCCACTCTCTAAATATCAATGGAAAAACATCCTTGGGTGAGAATTTACAACAACAAAACAGATGTATCTATTGCATTTGTAGCATCCATTCAAGAATCAGACTAGGTTGGCAAAGCACATTAAAATTGTATTGAAATCTTTATTTACCATGAAGTTGCCTTAAGTACAGTGTGAGATGTATTTTTTGATTTTGTAAATCTCATTTTTATTACTGTAACTCTTGGAGTACCAATTACTAGCCCTTGTGTTTATTTCTTATTGGTTTATCTTTAATCTTAAACTTCATAGATCCTAATGGTTTTATCTTTGGAAGAAAATAAAAGCTTTTTGTATTCTTGAATACTTTTATAGATTAATACTGTGATGTCACTATACAGAGTCAATATTTCTGATTCAGAGATTGTAACTGTGAAGCATAAGGTGGTTAGCACGCTCTGAAAAAATAGCATTCCTTGACTTTGGTCTCATCAACACTATCCTTCTGAACTAATCAGCTGTAAATATTCATTGTTAAAATCAACACATTTTTGCTTATTTTCACAAGAACGGCAATAAAAAAAAAACCCACAAAAAAACACCTCCAGTGTTAACTAATTAACTGATATATATATATATATATTATTTATTTATTTATTTATTTTTAAAGAAACCCAAAATAGGCTGGCTGGCTCTGTGGTTGAGCATTGACCTATGAACCAGGAGGTCATGGTTCAATTGTGAGTTTGATCCCCAATGTGAGGCATGCAGGAGGCAGCCAATCAATGATTCTCTCTCATCATTGATGTTTCTCCCTCTCCCTTCCTCTCTGAAATCAATAAAAATATATTTTTTAAAAGAACCCCAAAATAGATGCAAGGAGTCCTTATTTTCAATAGGTTCTCTTTCATGAAAATTACAAAATAAGGAGAAAAGAAATGGGTAGGAAGAAAAGAATAAATCAAAGGATTTAATTAAAAAGTTTTCTTTGTAGCTATGTCATCACTGAAGTTAAATGTTTTCATGACCCATTTTAGCCTTCAGTATTGAAAAATTATTTAGAAATTTAAGATTATAAAAAAATCCTGGTTTTCTACATTGTAGTGAAGTTGGATTAAAGTATGGTATAATGAATTATAGAATTTAATTAAAATTTTAAAACATGAAAAGATACAAAGTAGCATAGATGGAGATAATTTAAGGACATAATTAACTAAAGTAGTGGTTCTTAACCTGTGGGTCGCGAACCCTTTGGCAGTCGAACAACCCTTTCACAGGGGTCGCCTAAGACCATCATGCATATCAGATATTTACATTACGATTTATAACAGTAGCAAAATTACAGTTATGAAGTAGCAACGAAAATAATTTTATGGTTGGGGTCACAACATGAGGAACTGTATTTAAAGGGCCAGCAGGTTGAGAACCACCTGAACTAAAGTGATTTTAACAATTTTAGAAAGTGTGAGATAATAGATTTTTGAAAATATATAAAAACTAGAGCTAAATTTAATCTGATTATTAAATTCAAGTGCCTTTTACCAGTACATTGAATTTTTTTTTAAGCAAAAATACCATAATCACACAAAAAGGCTTTCAGAAAGGAAGCATTAATTGATAAGTCAAATTGGAGTTAAAATGAGTAAGCATGGAACCAGGGCAGGAAGATAATCTTAGTGGTTAAATCATCTAGTTATGATTTGATACATATTGTCATCTTTAGGAATATGGTGTCTGATATTGAGGGCACCCTCTCCACTCAGCAGTGACACTGGGTCACAATTTGGAATTGTTGTTTTTTGATCTCTGTCACATGAATATTATTCATGGAAATGCATTTTATCCTTTCTTCAGGCAGATTATAATGCAGTTGATCAGGTTTTTGGTTTAGTTATTGTATCAGCATAAGTTATGTTTTAATAATAACAATTTGAAAATCTCAGTGACATAATTTTCTCACCACCTTTATGCCATTATTGTCCAATATTTTTCTTCTATATTTACTATAATCTCAATAATACTTTATTATTTGGGCTTCAAAGAAATAAGAAGACTAGGAAAAATGTCTTTTGTTGTTTATTTTACTTGAGATTTATTGAGCTTCTTGGATATATAAATGTATAGTTTCATCAATTTAGGAAATTTTTCAGCCATTAGTTCTTAAAAAACTTAGCCATTCTTCCTTTTTTCTGGGATTGAACTATATGTATCTTAGACCACTTGATTTTGTCCAACTGAATTTTTTATCCTAACTGGAGGATATTTTTTCATTGATTTTTATTTATTTTTATTTTTTACTTTATTTTTTATTAATCCTCACCCGAGGATATTTTTCCATTGATTTTTAGGGAAAGTGTAAGAGAGAGGGAAAGACAGATAAACATTGAGGTGAGGGAAACACGTTGACTGGTTGCCTCCTGCATGTGCCCCGACCAGGGCCTGGGCCAGGGAGGAGCCTGCAACCGAGGTACGTGCCCTTGACTGGAATCAAACCTGGGACCCTTTGGTCCCCAGGCTGACAGCTATCCGCTGAGCCAAACCAGCTAGGGCTTTCATTGATTTTTAGTGCGAATGAAAGGAAGGGAGTAAGGGGAGAGCAAGAGAGAGGAGAGAGAGAGAAAAAATCATCATTGTGTGTGAGAGAGACATTGATTGGTTGCCTTCCGTACATGCCCAGCCCCGGTCGGGTATTCAGCCTGCAGCCCATGTATGTGCCCTTGACAGAGAATTGAACTGCGACCCTCTAGTGTTCAGGCCCAACCACTTAGCAATACTGGCCAGGGCCCAACTGAATTTCTATTTTTTAAAATTTTAAATATGTTTTCTCTGTTTTATTTGGGATAGTTTTTGTTTCTGTGTCTTTAAAAGTTCACTGATCTTTTTTTTCGTGTGTCAGATCTGCAGTTAATACCATTCATTCTTTTCATATCTCATTATACTTTTGTTTTCCTTTATATCCTTGAGCATATGAGCATATTTATAATAGTTTGAATGCCCTTGTCTACTAATTCTATTACCTCATTTATTTTGGGTTTGTTTCTCTTGACTGATTTTTCTCTATTATGGGTATTCCTTATGCTTCTTCATGTGTTTAGGAATTTTTGATTGATATTGTGTTTTTTATTGCATGTTGGACTTTTTTCTGGTAAGCATTTAAACTTGAAGCTATCTATATTTGATGCTTTTAAGGCCATTCTAAAGCTTTTTTTGGAGATAGGATCTTGAATAGCCTTTATTCCACTGCTAATTTTAGCTCCATTTTTTAAGATATAGCCCTTCTGGGATCTCTGCTAAATGCCCCATGTATTCAGCAGAGTTTTTCCCTTCTATAGGTGGCAGCATGAATGATTCACATGTGTGTACTCTGGGAACTGTTTGACTTGCAGCTCTCCAATAATTGTTTTCCCCCAGAAGTTGTTCTTGTCCTTAGGGGGTATTACTCTTTGCATATACAGATTGGTATTCAGCCAAGACTCAACGGGAACCCCTATGCAGATTTCTGGAGCTCTTTCTTACATAGCTCTCTTATGTACTCTGCCCTGCAAATGCTAGCTGCCTTAGCTCCTTCTACTCTCATCTCTGTCTCTTTAACTCAGTGAGATGAATGGACTTCTTTTGAAACTCTAATAAAATTACCTCTAGCTAGAAAGACTGGCTGACGATGGGACTCATTTGGTTCCCTTTTCTCAGGTATCACGCCCTATAGTGCCTATTATATGATGTCTAAAAATAGTTGTTTTCTATATTTTGTCTAGGTTTTAGTTAATTTATTAGTGGGTAGTATTTCTGAATCCTCGTACTTTCTCATGACTGGGAGCAGAAGTTCCTCTTGAGTTCTTGAGTATTAGTTCATACTTTGATAGCGAAATTTTAAGGCACCAGAAAACCAGTCAAAGATTTTTCATTTCCTTTATTTACTACCTCTTAATGCAGTTTTTAGCATCCTGTGGAGATGAAATATTTTTTAATAAATTTGACGAGTCTTGATCTTTTGAGCTGGCATGGCTTACTTAGAGTTGCACTCTGGGATTTTGTCTGTAGTCTGTAACTGAGCAGCTGGTTTACTTTTACAGAAACACAGTAAGAATTCTAATTCTTTTCAGACTTTCATCAGGACTGGAGACTTCATTGTTTTCCAAATTTCCTTATCCATATATGTATAGACAGTCTTTTTTGCCTAAGTATGTTCATCTATCTGACAATTTATCCTTTCTTTCCTGCCTTCCTTCCATCTATCCAGTTATTTGGTTACTTTCATATAAAAATATCTTTATCTCCAAGTTTGCACCTTTGTACATTTTCTGTATATCAAATATTTTCTCATGCATAGTTTAAAAAAAAAAAAGCTTAGTGACATTTCATTTAAATTTTGCTATTAGATTATAAAAATACATAGACTCCAAAGTCAAGTTTTGACTTTTTTTTTTTTTTTTGGTAGTTGTGACATAAAAATGCAAATCAAGTAACCGTCTTCCGTCTGGAACCTGTTAATGATAATATTCTAAACCTTAAACTAGACTTTGAAAAAAATATTTTTTTGGATAAACTGCCCTGTTTAAAAGATCCCCTGGATATAGCTACTTCTAAATTTCTGTTTATGAACATCTGTTGATAATCCACATAAATTGTTTGATCTCATACCTGTATCTAACTTATTGTGAGGAACAAGAGAATAAGAGAGTGCTTAAAGGCAGGAGCTGTTGTTAAATGTCGTAGTAGCTATGGTAAAAATGCTCATTTAATCAGAACGTTAAATAAGGAAATTGACATGATCAGAACATCCTAAAAGAGTTCTTACTTGTAAGTATTGCAAAAGTCTTGAACCCTGTGGAACTATGTTTAAAGTATAAGTCATATTCAAAAGGCTCTTAACTGAGACGTGTAAAGAAACCATTGCACCAAGAAGTCAGAGGGGATTGCAATAAGGATTCATTACTGTAACTGGGAAATTTTGAATAATAGGTGATTGTTTCTCTATGACTGTTTCTACAATACGATATTTCTAGCAAGATTAAATATAAGTTTAGGGACTCTAAATATATGATATTGTATAAAGACTTTAAGGTAGAAGAGAAATAAAGATGCCAAGATTGTAGGAAGAAAACGTTTTTTCAAAAGGGGAATGACAAAGTATGATGACTTTCATTAAAATACTTATAAATTCTTTTAATTTATAAAAAACTGAGCATTTTCCAGTGTGGTGGTAGTAGCCTTAGTTTATGTAGTGCCCCTTTTTGTTTTTGCAAGTTGATATATTTAATAGGCAGGAAAAGAAAATAGAATCTATGTTATTTTTTGTCTCTGATAATGATTTTGCCAGTAATAAGGATCTTGAAATTTTCTTTAGATGTCATTGTTTAATATTTGTGTTAAGCAACATTTAATTTTTTTAGAACATTAGATTTATAATTGTTTTTACCTCAGTTTCAACTTTTGTATTACTTTTAAAATCTTGTAATGAGTTTTATTCTTTAATTATTGCTATTTTAAGCCTTTGTTATAAAATGTTGGAAGCTATAAGTAGGGTGCTGTATTAATCATTCTACATTCATTTGTGTCCTGGGAACAGGGAACCTTCAAAAGATCCTGTCCCACGATCATCCTCCAGAATACTCAGCTGATTTCTATGCTGCTTACATTAATATTCTTCTTGGAGTTTTCTACACTGTCTGCCGGGATTTGAAAGAGCTCAGACATCTGGTGAGTGAGCATTCTGCTTAAAAAAAAAAAAGTATGCCTTTTAATATTTTTCCATGTAGAAATGATGTAGGATAGGTTGGAAGCTGACAATTTATTATGGAAATTTTGATTTGGCCCTTTGAGGCTAATACACCATAAAATGGAAGAAATCTATGGATTAGTACACATTTTGAACCGATTAGAAAACTTTCATTTATCTTTACTTAGGTCTTTTCACTTGGCCTCGTGAGTGTCCCCCCCCCCCTTTTTTTTTCTAATTGTAGAAAATTTAGAACTCTGTTAAAATAAAAATGAAGAGTAAATGAAAGGTATAAAAACTTAACAAACACTTAAATTTTTTTTATTGATTTCAGAGAGGAAAGGAAAGGGAGAGACAGATAGGAACATCAGTGATGAGAGAATCATTGATTGGCTGCCTCCTGCAAGCCCCTACTGAGCATCAAGCCTGCAACCCAGGCATGTGCCCTGACCCGGAGTTGAACCGTGACTTCCTGGTTCATAGGTCGACACACCACTGAGCCACGCCAGCCGGGCGAATAAATATTCTTTTAAAATACAAATAATTTCTGAGAGGATCATTGATAATTGGCGAATTATTTTAATAAAGTAGCATAGCTGCTTTTTGTAGCCAGGACCCAGCATTTTCTGGGGTTTTGATTTTATTTTTTAGCATGGGGCTAGGTTGATGGCTCCTGGATGTTGAAGAATGGGAAGAGTGGGTATTAGGCAGCAGGGCAGAGAAGGATCTGGCACAGAAAAGCTGCATAATGTACAGGAAGACTTTTGATGCCTCACTCATAACTTAGCTCTCTCACATGCAACTGACCAACTCAAGGTAATCTCTGACTACTTCAAATGGCATCATGACATTCTTAGATTTCAGATTTTTTCATGTATTTTTAAACTGTTTTTTGATGAGGAAGAGATTGTTCTGAAATGGTTGCATATCTGTCCTTCAGCTATCAGTGGATTCATAAAGACAGTATATAATATGTGTTTTGGTACATAGTAGTTATTTTTGCTTATTTGCCATGTGATTGTATAATAGGAAAAAATGGCCCCTGAGAAATAAAATTTAAAAGATTGTAACATTTTATGAATAAAGAACCATGGTGTCTGGCTCGATAGCATATGTTCACAACTATTATACTATTTTACTTCTTAAATAAGATCCAGCCTTGATTGAGTACATCCTGTGTGCCAGGCACTGTTATGAACCTTTTTTACTATTATTAGTTCAATTAATTAATTTTTACAACAACCCTATGAAGGAAGGTACTGTCATGAATCCTCATTTTACAGATGAAGAAACTTCTTCCTTTGCCAGCTCTGTGATCTTGACCAAATTACCTAACCTTTTTGAACATGAGTTTTCTCTTGTGTTAAGTATATATAATACTTACTTCAAAGGAATTTTGTGAAGTAAAAAGAAAGGAATACATGTAAAATGCCTGATAACCTGTTGGTGATCTGTTAATATTAGTTTGCTTTCTTCTGCTGAGCAAAAGTTTATGGGCTTAAAAATAGATTGAGATCTGCAAGAACATAAACCAGAGCCCAAGTATGGAGACTGCTAATACCTACTGTAGGTTTATATCAGAGATTGAAGTCATATGAAGTCTGAGGCAGAAGAGTTGTCATCCTATTGACTGTCAGAGTTAATCTGACAGATAGCTGGGTGAATGGTGTCCTTCACCAATCTTTTATATCCTTAGGAGGCCCAGTGCACAAAATTCATGCACGGGTAGGTTCTCTAGTGGCTGCTGGCTGCTGGCCTCCCTTCCCCTGCTGCTGGCTGCCCTCCAGGGCCTTCCTTCATTCTGTGCCGCCCCCTGGTGGTCAGCACACATCATAGTGAGTGATTGAACTCCCAGTTGGTCAAATTCCTGAGGGGACACTTTGCATATTAGGCTTTTATATATATAGATAGAAACTGATTGCTTTATGGATGAGGATGACTTTTTCACAGATAAGAGCTGTTCTTTGGTTATGGGTACTTAAGGGAGAGGTGGAGTGTTTAATTAGGACAAATAATCTAGTTAGCTTTGTATTTCTTTTATTTTTTATTAGCTTTGATTAAAGTACACTATACCTAAAGAAAAGCACAGAAACCATAAATATTATCACAGAGTGAAAACACTTCTGTAAATATAATCCAGGTCAAACAGTAGAAAATTACCAGCATCTCAGGAGCCTACTTCATGCTTCCTCCCAATTTCTGCCTCTTCTTTCCTTCTGAAGTAATCACTGTTCTTACTTCTAATTTCAAAGATTAGGTTTGTTTGTTTTTTAATTTTCTTTAAATGAAAACATACAGAATGTGTTCTTTTTTTTTTTTTAAATCTATGTACTTTTGCCCAACATTTTACTTGGTATATTCATCCATGTTAAATGTAGCTGTGGCATATTCTTAAAAGTTACATAGTCTGTAGACATGGGAAAAACAGAAAGTGGTGTTTAAGACAGCTTTTACAGGGTGCTTTTACTTATGGCCTTGGATAATTAAGAATTCTTTTTGTATCACAGTCACATTTATTGGTACTGACATGCTAATAGTTCTGATTATTTTTTTATATGTGGTATTTACAAGAAGGTGAGAGTATTGGATGTTTTTAAATTTTATTTTAAAACTAGAGGCACAATGCATGAAGACTCGTGCAGGAATGGGCCTTCCTTCCCCTGGCTGCCTGCACCGACTTCATTTGGCCCGGAGCCGCCTTTCCACCTTCCCATGCTGCCCAGAGGCCCAGAGCAGCTGGGGCAGTGCTGAAGGCAAGCGTCCCGCCCCACCCCCGGCCGCTTCGTGCCTGTGTATGCAAATTAACCCACCATCTTTGTTGGGTTAATTTGAATACTCCTGATTGGCTGGTAGGTGTTGCAAAGGTATGGTCAATTTGCATCTTTCTCTTTTATTAGTGTAGATTTTTGAAGCAATTTTAATTTATAGAAAAATTGCAAATATAGTGAACTTTTCCTTTTCTCCTCCCAAACACTTGAGAGTAAGTTTGTGACTTGATCACCCTGAATCTTAGTGGGCAGTTTCTGCAAAGACATTCTTTTACAAAACCACAGTACAACTATCAGAATTAGAAAATTGATTTATTTCTTCAATCTGATACTCAGACCCTATCAAGATTGGCCAGTTATTCCAATAATGTACTTCAGAGCAAAATAATTCAGTTCAGAGTCACATATTGCAATTAGTTGTCATTGCTCTTGAACTTTCATCTGGAATAGTTTCTCACTCTTTGACTTGCATGATCTTAAGACCTTTGAAGATTGTAGGCTATTTGTTCAATTTTTTTACTGTTTCTTCATGAATAGATTTAGGTTGAGTATCTGACAGAAATATCACAGAAATGATGCAGTGTTCTCATTGCATCCTGTCAGGTTACAAGATTTGATTTTATCTCATTACTGATAATGTTCCCTTTGATTGTTTGATTAAGGTGGTGTGCCCTTGGTAATTAATGTGTATTTTGTGTGGAGGCACTTTGAATCCTTGTAAATATCTTATTCCTCATCTGAATTTTAACTTATTTATTTTTTCATATCATCTGGCTTCAGGATATCCTAAGACAGCAACATCAAGGTGGTTCTCATCTAATCACACGAGTCCTTTAGAAGGGCGAGTTTTCTCTGGCTGATTAAAGAAATGGAAATCAGATATTTAAAGCTTTAACTTTTCTGTAAAATGGGAATAATAATGTCTACTTCATAACATCATTTGAAGGATTGAATAAATTAATGCATATAGAGCACTTAGAATAGTAAGATCTGGCACAGAGTAAGGCCTCATTGCTTGATGAAAATGTCTATAAATTAATGTTAATGTAAATGTCCTCAGTTCTGATCTTTGTCCTGCTAATGTTTTTGAAATAAAATGTAGGTATTCTAAAAAAGGCAGAAAAGTTTAGAAATTACTTGTACTTGGCCATGGAATATGTTTTTATACTTATACTTCATTGTATGTATTAGTTTTCTATTGCTGCAAAATAAAGTACCACTGATTTAGTGGCTTACAACAGCACAAATTTATTATCTCATAGTTCTGTAGGTCAGAAATCCAGACACTGTGTTGCTGGCTTCTGTGCTGAGGATATCACAAGGCTAAATTAAAGTTCTGGTTGAACTAAATTCTCATCTCGAGCCTCTGGGGAAAAACCACTTCCAAGCTCTTTTAGGTTGTTGATGGAATTGAGTTCCTCTTGGTTGTAACAGTGAGGTCCCAAGTTTCCTTGTTTGTCTCTCTCAGGCCTCCTAGAGCCCACCCACATTTTTTTTTCCACGTGGCCCTCTCCATCTACCTGCCAGCAAGGGCATGTTGAATCCTTTTATACCGAATCTCTTGACTTCTTTGACCAGCCAGAGGAAACTTTGCTTTTAAAGGGTTCCTGTGATAGGTCAGACTTATCTGATCATCTCCTTACTTTAACTCTCCCATAAATAGTATAGTTTTTAGGGAATTAATTGCATCTACAAAATCCCTTCACAGCAGTGCCTAAATTAGTGTTCCACTGAATAACAGAGGTGTGTGTACTCTAGCGGCCAGGAGTCTTGGGGTGTATCTTACAATTCTGCTTATTACAATGTACATGTATCAGGTTATTTTCTAACAAATTATTTCAAATACAGCAGTGAAGTTTTTCTGAAAATCTCACTGAGAAGTTAGAAAAGCTTCCCAAATTGCCTATCCTATTTTGTGGCAACCTATTCAATATTCATCGTAGATTCTTTTGTTTCTTGAAGTAATGCAAGTTTTTCTTTGCTGTATAAGCGAAATACAGGTACACAGGTTGGGTTTCAGATCACCATCCTATCTAATAAAGAGGTAATACGCAAATTGACCATCACTCCAACACACAAGATGGCCACCCCCATGTGGACACAAGATGGCTGGCAGGAGAGGGCAGTTGTGGGTGACCATGCCAGCAGGGGAGGTCAGTTGGGGGTGACCAGGCCAGCAGAGGAGGGCAGTTAGGGGCGATCGGGCCAGCAGGGGAGCAGTTCGGTGTTGATCAGGCTGGCAAGGGAGTAGTTAGGGGGTGATCAGGTTGGCAGGCAGAAGCAGTTAGGGGCAATCAGGCAGGCAGGTGAGCGGTTGGGAGCCAGCAACGGTCCAAGATTGGAGAGGGTGCAGGCTGGGTGTAAGGACACACACACACACACACACACACACACACACACACACCCTCCCCCCGTGCACAAATTTCGTGCATTGGGCCTCTAGTAATTAAGTATTGCAGTAAAGCAAGTATCACGATAAGTCAAGTTGTAACTTTTTTGCTGGTAGAGGGTCTTACCTTCAATTTCTAAAAATCACACCACCTGTGAAGTGCAATAAAACTAGGGATGTGTGTATTTTCTGTTTCACCAGAATCAGGCTTTGATGACATGGCATCCTTATTGGTTTGGAAGCAAATTCCCAGAACATCTCAGATCCACAGTCATAAATTTAGGCAGTGGAATCTCTGTGTGCCTGTAGGCAAATTATATTTTTCTTCTCTTCCTTCAGCTGATAAATGGGCATAATGAAAGTTTAGTTGTCTTGAATGAGGTAACAGATGGTTAGAATTAGCTGTTGTTAATTACGCTCCTTCTGTTATTATTAGGAATACTAGTGTTCCCTGAGCAATTGGTCATTTTTTTAATAAAGTTATGGCTCTCCTCCCTTCCCTTTACATTGATGAGATTAGTTAAGAGTAAATTATATACTTAAATGGTAATGAATAATGGGAAGTTATATGGAAGAATGTACAATGGTTGTGAAAATTTATAATATAAAAAATTCATCTAAAATTATTTTTGCTTGGGCTTTGGAATTATTTTTGTGATTTTGTTAGTAGCCTTTATATGTATTTTTACTCTCTGGGTAGTTTAAAATACCAGTGGGCTTGAATTTAGATTTGTTGTGTATAACTCCAATACAATTAAGTGGGAATTTGCCTGTATTTGAGGATTAACATAGGAGAAGTGGGCATAATATTGGAGAGCATATTTGAATGTTAATAGTCAAAGTTGTGAAAAGTATTTCGTATTTGACAAATATTTTGTTTTTAAAATTCCACTTCTTAGTAAGGGCTCACTTTTGTAGGTGTAGTTAAATATAGAGACTGTGTTTGGACAGTTACATGTACTCAATTTGCTTAAACTACCTTTCAGTAGAATTCAATGTTGATTCATGGAAAACTACTAAGTGATTATGATTAATCATTGCTTCTCAGACTTTAAGATACATGGAATTCCTAGTGAGATTGTTAAAACATAGATTCTTGGGTCTCATCCTCAGGATTCTGACCAAGTGTGCCTGGGAGGATGCTAAGAACTTGGATTTGTAACAATCTCAGGCAGTGCTGGCATTCGAAATAGTTTGAGTTGTACTGCACTAGAGGTTTAATTTGTGAGAATGATCAGACTTTGGAAGTTAACAGGTTAATTCTTTGGGCTAGGGGTATTTTATTTGTGTTTTATGTTCCTTTGTAACATTATTATGACTTAAAATTACAAATTTTGCTTTGTTGTATTACTTTATATCTAGGGGCTAATAGGCAGGATTTAGCCAATTAAGGAATATTTTTCATATTGTTTTACTGCTATTATTGATATTTGCTGTTTTATTATCCTACATAATAAAAGCCTAATATGCTGTGTCTGGTCATCTGGTCGGTCATTTAACCAATCAAGGTGTAATATGCTAATGGTATGCTAAGGCCACTCAACTGCTTGCTATTATGGGCACTGACCACCAGGGGGCAGACGCTCTGACCGGTAGTTTAGCTTGCTGCTGGGGCACGGCCGATCCCCTGCTGGCTAACCTCTCGCATCCTTCCCTGACCCCAATCATGCACCAGTGGGTCCCTCCGCCTTGCCTGCGCCCTCTCGCAATCTGGGCGGAGGGACTTCCCCATCCCCTCCCCGTCTCCCAGTGCATGAATTTCATGTACCGGGCCTCTAGTTGTAGTAATAAGCTTTAATAACATTTTACCTGAGAAATTAATTCACAGTAAAATTGCTTGAATAGTTTAAGATTTTTACCTGAAAAATAATTCATAATTGTGGTAGATAACTACTATTTTTCTTTGTTTCTAGGCAGTACTTAATTTTCCTAAATATTGTGAACCCGTGGTTAAAGGAGAAGGTAACTATATAATTTTATCTATTAACTTTAAAAAGCTTTTTATAAGCTCTAAATTATTGAAATTTTCTTCATTTTGGGTAGCAGGTGAACGTGATACTCGCAAACTCTGGAGAAATATCGAACCTCATTTGAAGAAAGCCATGCAGACTGTTTATCTCAGGGAAATATCAAGGTAATTTTTTGTTTAATATGTTTATATCTTTTATTTGGTTACTTATTGTACAGTTTTCCTTTACTTTCTTCACATTGGAAAAAACTAGAGGTTTGAATTACTTTTTGTGTTTTGGGGAAGGACAGACAATTTTTAACCAGTATGCTACACACTTTGAAACAATTGCAAAATGTAAAATATCTGGGTAGGTACAGCAAAATCAATTTTAGCCTTTTGAAAATATGTTTATGTGAGATATTTGAATGGTATCATGAAAATTTGATTATTAAAGAAATATGTAAATCAAGTCATAAATCTACATTTGTCTTTTATTAGAATTTCATAGTAATGAAACTCCTTAGGTGATAAGGTGGCACATAGTATAGTGGGAAGTACATGGTTTTGATTTCCAGCTCAGCCATTTTTTGTCTTATGGGGTCTGAGCAAGTCACTTAAAAATGCCAGTCCTGCCCAGCCAGTATGGCTGGGCATGGTCATGGTTTGATTTCCGGTCTCACACCCATCTTTACCCTTTTCACTCTTTCTAATCACATAGAATTTCTGGTCTATCCTGTGTGAGAGAGTGTGTGTTGTGTGTGTGTGTGTGTGTGTGTGTGTGTGTGTGTATTTATTTCTCTGTATCTTTAAAAAAATTTTTCAAATATGTACATACATAGTTATATATATGCAAAGGCAGCTACTTCTCTTTGCAATTAATATATTGTCTGTCATATGTTTTTTTTCACAGAAAGGTGTAGAGCACAGAAATAAGCATTGCTAATCTGACCTCCTGCCTAACTGAAGCATTTTGAAAACCTTTTTCTTTAATGAGTGACTTACACCCATTTGTATTTATTGATATAAAGTATATTTGTTTTATTAGCTTTGTCGTGTTAATTTGCTAAATTCCTTTAGTAATCATTTTCTTTGTCATTTTTGAAAAAAATTGTTGGTTGTTAGGATAGTTTGCATTTTTACTCCAGGTGGTTACTTTTCTAGTCATATTATATATAACTAGAGGCCCGGTGCACGGATTCATGCACCGGTGCGGTTCCTCGGCCTGGCCTGCGGGGATCGGGCCAAAACCAGCTCTCTGACATCCCCCGAGGATTCCAGATTGTGAAAGGGTGGTTCTTGTGTGACACACCCCGGAATCGGGCTCTCTCCTTTCTGGTTCTGGTGCATCACCCAAGAACCACAGCTGCAAAGTCACCGCAGCTCTGCAGCTCCTGCGTTGAGCATCTTCACCTTGGTGGTCAGTGTGGTCTTAGCTCCCAGTCAGAGTGTCTGCCCCCTGGTGGTCATTGCACATCATAGCTACTGGTCGAACAATTGCTTAGGCTTTTACATATATACTAGAGGCCCAGTGCATGGGATTCCTGCACTGATGGGGGGTGTGGCCTAGGGGATTGGCCCGCTGCGGAAGCAACCACTCATACCAGTTAGTTGAGGGGTGCCCCCAGTGTGGGAGCGCACTGACCACCAGGGGGCAGCTCCTGCATTGAGCATCTGCCCCTTGGTGGTCAGTGTGCGTCATAGCAACTGGTTGACTGGTCGTTCTGGTCGTTACACTGTTTGGGCGCTGGGTTTTTATTATATAGGACTAGAAGCCCAGTGCGCGCAATCACGTGTCCCCGCCCACTAGCGTGGCCTCACCGTGCTCGCAGCCCCACCCACCCGCACCAGTCTTTGGTCATTACAGCGTTAGGGCCACAGGCCTTATATAATATAGATAGATGTCCTCCCTTTTTTCTCACAATGTGGCATAAAGGACCAGTAAGACTTTGCAATAGTATAGTAGAGAAATAGCATTCTAAGATTGGTGATATCTACTTATCCATTTGAAAGTGCTCAAATTGCTACAAGTTAAATGACTCGTTCATTTCTCCCCCCTCCAATATCCTTGACCCCCTTCATCCATGTAAAGTAAATTTTACTAAATTAAAAAATAATAATCACATATATCATATTTCCTAATTGAGATTAAATACTTCGGATAAGCAGAATAAAGTCATAGAAGGCTAGATCCGGACTTAAGCTGTTTTTGTTGAAATGTATGTTAGTTTTATATAACTTTTATAAGCAGTTTGTATAATTACGAACTATGAATTCAACCTGGTTTATCTTAAAATTCTAGCCTATTCTGTGGCAATTAATACAACTACTGTGACTCTGACTCATTTCTGGAAATTGATATTTATTTAGAACATGGAAGGACGTTTTAGTCAGGCAGATCTCAATTGAAACGTTGGTTCCACCACTTAGAGCAGTGGTTCTTAACCTTCTGGCCCTTTAAATACAGTTCCTCATGTTGTGACCCAACCATAAAATTATTTTCGTTGCTACTTCATAGCTATAATGTTGCTATTGTTATGAATTATAGTGTAAATATCTGATATGCAGGATGGTCTTAGGCGACCCCTGTGAAAGGGTCGTTCGACCGCCAAAGGGGTCGCGACCCACAGGTTGAGAACTGCTGACTTAGAGGCTTGCAGCCTTTGCAAATTAGTTAACCTCTTTGACTCAGTTTTGCCATTTGTAAAAAAAAGAAAAGAAATACAGTTTATGAGTAGTAAAAGGGATATGTTAAGGGATATGGTTCATAGTAGTAAACATTTAGTAAATATTATAGTCTCTTCTTTTCCCATTAAAGGTGGTCAGTTTTTCCCTGGTTGTTCTTTGAGAGTTAAATAATAACATTAAACGGGTAATTACTATATAAGAAAAACCTTATGACTTTAAACTATCTCAAAGGAATGTGAATATGCCTTCTAATCTGAAGCACCATCAACTCTAAGGTGGAAGAAATGCTCTATTTTGAAAGTCAGCTTGTTAGACTAGGTTTGCTCTGCCCATAGGTTACTAGTAGCCTATCAAAATTTCCTACTTGCTGTATTCCCAGAATTTTCAACTATGCTTATAGATTTGAAAAACTATATATTTTGATTTAATATATTTAATTGTTCTGATCTGGCATTTACTTTTAAATTAGCATTTTAAGAGCTTTTTAAGAGACTTAGAGCTGGTGAGGGTCCTTACAGATCATTGCATCTAATTACCTTATTTTTTTTGTCACCTGAGAACATGCTTTTTTTTTTTTTTTTTTTTTTTTTTTTTTGTTAAGGGGGAAGGGAGGGAGAGCAAGAGAAAGAGATGGATAGATTGCCTCCCACACACTCCCCAACTGGGGATCAAACTGGTACCTTTTGGTGTATGGCACGACACTCCAATCAACTGAGCCACACTGACCAGGGCTAATTGCCTTATTTTTTGATGAGAAGATTATTGATTTATTCAAGGTCATACAGCTAAAACTTTGGTCTTCCAGGACAGTCTTTACACTATGGTGTGTTCCTTATGAATTTGATTTGACTTATCATAATTACTTCATAGTCTTAATATTTGGGGCTGTTGAATAGTTTTCATTACAAGTAAGATCAGAGTGGGACTGCTGAAATATCATGAACTCTGCAGACATCTACAAGGATTCAGTTCTTAGCTCCAGTGCTGACTGATTGGGTATCCTGGGGCAACTTAACTTGTAGGCCTCGGTTTTCTGATACAGTGATACTTATTTTAACACATTGCGGACAGATCATGAGAATTTGCATGTTTTCTGTTCTAAGGCTTGTGGCCAGTCACGAGAATTCTTTTTTTATATGTGTGTGTGTGTGTGTGTGTGTGTGTGTGTGTGTGTGTGTGTATATATATATATATATATATTAGAGGCCTGGTGCACGAAATTCGTGCACTGGGGACAGAGGGGTCCCTCAGACTGGCCTGAACCCTCTCCAGTCTGGGACCACTTGGGGGATGTCCGCCTGCCAGCTTAGACCCGATACCCCTGGGGATCAGGCCTAAGCCTGCAGTCGGATATCCCTCTCACAGTCTGGCATCCTTCACTCCTTACCGCTTGGCTTACCACTTGGCTCGCTGCTCGTAAGCACTGCCACGGAGGTGGAAGAGGCTCCCACCACCTCAGCTGTGCTCGCCAGCCGTGAGCCTGGCTTCTGGCTGAGTGGCGCTCCCCCTATGGGAGCGCACTGACCATCAGGGGCAGCTCCTGCATTGCGCATCATAGCGACCAATCATTCTGGTCATTCTTCCGTAATGGTCACTTAGGCTTTTATTATATAGATATATTTTACTGAGTTTTTACAGAGAGGAAGGGAGAGGGATAGATAGTTATAAATATCGATGAGAGAGAAACATGGATCAGCTGCCTCCTGCAACCCCCTACTGGGGATGTGCCCGCAACCAAGGTACATGCTTTTGACTAGAATCGAACCTGGGACCATTCAGTCCGCAGGCCAACGCTCTACCCACTGAGCCAAACCAGTTAGGCACAAGAATTCTTTAAAAAGATATTATCTTATAAGAACATGTAATAAATAACTTCAAAATGCAATGGGCATTTAATTTTAAAGCGTGGATTTAACATCCCATTGTACTCGTTCAATAGAAACTTATCTGGCCCCTGGGTAAAGCTAGCAATAAAACTACTGGCCCACAATTTATTAAGAGATTGTTACTGAGTTTAGAAATGGTGTATAACAATTTTATCTCATATGGTAATTGGAACATTGGGAGTTTTATGGAATGACAGATGATATTATTTATTTGTTGGTACTTTTTGATAGCTTTACAATTGTGATCAGAGGAAAAGAGACTTAAGAAAATTAACATTTGGATATCTCTCTCACACTCACTCTCCCTCTCTCTCTCTCTCTCTCTCTCTCTCTCTCTCACTCTCTCTCTCTCTCTCTCATATATATAAAAGCCTAATATGTAAATTGTCCCCTTGGGAGTTTGACCGGGAGTTCAATAGCTCTCTATGATGTGCACTGACCACCAGGGGGTGGCACAGAATGAGGTGAGGCACTTGCCGGCAGCTGGATTCCAGGGAAGGGAGACCCCGGTGGCCCTGATCATTAGCCAGGCCTAGGGACCCTACCTGTGCTTGAATTTCGTGCACTGGGCCTCTAGTTGATATATAAGATACATTGTTCTGATATATACTTCATGATTCCATAGAGTATAAACATGTATATTGCATATATATATATCTTGTCTTGTTTATAGGGAAATTGAATCTAATAAATTTTAGTTTTTCTAGGGCTCTATATTAAGTATGGTATTTTGATGTAGTATTTTTTTAAACTCTTAATTTCTATTTTCTTTCAGTTCACAATGGGAAAAGCTACAGAAAGATGACACAGATCCAGAACAACTGGAAGGTATCTAGGAAATATTGAGACAGTTACCAGAAACCCTATTTTATTACTAATAATTAAGATACTAAAGTTAATGCCACAGATAACATTAGTCAGTAGTGTTATAAAAATAAATTTACTCTTTAAGCTATAGTGATATTTTAATTGATTTTCCTTTAAGTGAAACTCTAATATGAGGAACTAAAGTTTGTATACCAGTTTTCTGAATGTTGGATTGTATCATGTGAAAATCAAGCAGTTTTTATTTTATTAAATGCTTTTGTTAAAACAATTACATTACATAATTTCATCTCAGTATGTATGTATTTCATGAGTTTTAATGAATAAAATTCAATTTTAGTTAACCCAGTTTGTAGGATACATTTCAGTTGACTATGTTTTAAAAGCTTTGTGCTTTTGTTTTCTTTAAAGAAATTATTACTTTGGATTTATCCCAATAGAACAGCTTTTACTTAAAAAATAAACAGATACCTAAAATATTATTTTAAAAATAGATCAGTGCCTAGTAGTTGGGGGAACTGGTATGAAATGAAATGGTGCTGAGATTCTGCTTTGTCTGTTTTGGTTTCTCAGTGCTCCTGATGCTATACAAGTGATTTTCAGTTGTATGTTTTAATGGAAAGAAATAGATGTTAGAGTTAGAAAATCTATTCTAATTGGTTGACACTACTCCCTAACTGTGTGATCTTGAGTCCAACTTAGTGTCCTCATCTAAAAAATGGGAAGAATATCTAGCTTTAAGTTATAGCAAATTCAGAGATGCTTAAGTAAAGTACCTAGCACAGTGTCTGACATATACTGTATTTTCATTAACTATCAGATTCCTTATTTCCTTGTAAAAATCAGTGCTGCCTGAGTGACCCAGTTGTTTTATTTATCCATTCATTCAATTATTTCATTTGTGAAAGGCACTCAGATACAAAAAGAAAAAAAAAAGGAAAAATTAGACATGGTTCTTTCAGTGAACAATATAGCTTGGTAAGAAATATAATTTTAGTATAATTAACTGTTCAATCCTATATTATAAAAGCCCAATATGCAAATCGACCAAATGGCAGAACTACTGGTGGAACGACCGGTTGCTATGATGTGCACTGACCACCAGGGGGCAGGCACTTAACGCAGGAGCTGCCCCCAGCCCACAGACTCTAGGCCAGCCAAGGAGGGTGCCAGCAGCGGGGGAAGGCCTCCCCCCACAGATTGGCCCTGATTGCCTACCCATTCATGAATTTCGTGCATCGGGCCTCTAGTCTATATAATAAAAACCTAAGAGACCATCACGGCGAATGACCGGTTGCTATGATGCTCACTGACCACCAGGGGGCAGACGCTCAATGCAGGAGCTGCCCCTTGGTGGTCAGTGCACTCCCATGGGGGGTGTGCTGCTCAGCCAGAAGCCGGCTCACGTCTGGCGAGTGCAGCTGCTATGGCGGGAGCCTTTCCCAACTCCACGGCAGCACTACCGAGCTATAGCCACAGGTGCCAGCGAGCCGGGATGAGCCCGAGTGGCGCCTGACCCCTATTCAGGCTCCTCCCTGTCCGCCTGCCACTTGGTGCACTGCTACATCCCCCCAAGGGATCCCAGACTGCGAGAGGGATGTCTGCCTGTCGGCTTAGGCCTGATTCCGGTGCCGTTCTCTGTAGAAGGCAGTCAGTCTGAATAACTCAGTGACTTAGGGAAGCGCAGAGAACTCAGGGTGAACCTGGCCCGGCGCTTGACTCATCCATTCGATGGTGTTCACAGGACAGACCGTGGTGGCCCAGCCTGTGCACATGCAGCAGCTGCTGAAGCTCAAGCAGCAGGCTCTGCAGCAGCAGAAGGCCATCCAGGCACAAACTGGCAGGCGGACATCCCCCGAGGGATCCTGGACTGCGAGAGGGCACAGGCGGGGCTGAGGGGAACACCTTGCCCCCAAGTGCACGAATTTTGTGCACTGGGCCTCTAGTGTAATTATAAGTAATGATTATAGATATAAAGTTATGTGGGCCATAAGTGGGAAAAACAACCCACAAACTAGGAATTCAGAGTAGAGAGGTTTTTCTATTTTGGTGTGATAGAGGAGCATCAAGGGAATGTTTAATGGAGAGTGTGGCTTTGAAGGGCAGGTTGGGTAGCATTTAGACCAGAATAGGAGGAGCCAAACAAAAATACAGTGGGGCCTTGACTTACAAGTTTAATTCGTTCCGAGACTGAGCTCGTTAAGGAGCTTGATAACTCAAAGTACTCTATCATCTCAATGCAAAAAATTGGCCGAGAGACAGCTGGTATCTCAAAAAACTCGTTAGTCGGGACACTCGTAAGTCAAGGCGCCACTGTAATAGAATGAGCAAAGCATATTGATGATAATGTTTACTACCACCACCACCATTATCATGGCACTTTACGCTCAAGGAGTAGGTCATTTTGACTAGATAATGTGGTATGAAAGTAAAAAGATAAGAGATGAAAATAAAAGAGATACTTAAAATCTAATGGTAGCCTGTTAAATACCTTCATGAAAGTTTTTTGTTGTGTAGGTCTCTCAGCATATACTCATGTGGAACTTCCTTATTACTCTAAGTTTATTTTAATTGCTGCATACCTTGCTTCATATAATCCATCAAGAACTGACAAGAGGTTCTTCCTTAAGGTAATAATTACTTCTTTTTACTTTATTTTTGAAGATCCCACGAATAGTTTGAAATTTCTCAATATCTAAATTTCTAAGGGTCAGAGATTAGAATAAGAGATTGCTAAATATGTATTTAGGATTCATCCTCTAAGGCTTTAAATTAAGATCAAAACCCGAGTGGGAAAAATAGTTTCAAGGAAGAGCTCAGGTATATCATAGGTGATAATTCTATATTTTAAAAATGCATTATGATTTGTTTAAAGTATGAGAGATGGGAATAATTTTAAGGATACTGACTTCTTTGTTGTTCTTAAGCTCCTGTGGTAGTGTCATACATCATTATCTAGGATATTCAGGAACCTCTTCTGCATATACATTAACTGAATAAATCCCATTTTAGAATTACGTTCTTTTTGAAAAAATATAATATGCAATTTTATTTATTATTAAATGTACTTGTAATAAGCTTTCATATATTTATTTTTGCCTACCTTTCCCTCCAGTCTTTTGTTTCATGAGGACAAGGACCACATTAACTTCTTTTAGGAAGTATCACTATTTTATTTTAAAAGCTTCTTCTTTACATACCAAAGTAATCTATACGTATGAAATCTAAGTCAAATCAAGGCTAAAATATGTTGATATTTTAAAGTGATATTTTAGGTGGGCAAGTAGAATAAAATAAAAAAAAAAAGCCTAAGATACATAAATTAGTGTTATCTGTGCCATGTTTTAAACAAATTATATTTTCTGTTTTTATGGAATACTGTCTTTATTTTAATCTTAAAAATTATTTTCCTTAATTGCAGCATCATGGGAAAATCAAGAAAACCAATTTTCTAAAGAAACATGAAAAGGTATTTTCATTTTAATTTCTCTAAAGGGAAAAACTCATGAATTTAGGACACTATGGGAAGTGGATAAATTCATACCTTTATTAGTCATGTGGATATAAGAAGTTACTTTTATTGGTATGGTACCATTATAATATTGTACTAATATTCTGTTATGATGAATACAGTGATTGATGGGCACATTCAAGGGAACTGGTCCTAGAGATGAAAAAGTCTGTGTTTTAAATTTATATTTTCTCTAGCTGCTTTAAATTCTTTTTTCCTTTTCCTTTAGTGTTTTTAAAGTTTCACTGTGGTGTGTCTGGGATTGTGGAGGAATATCCTCACTCACCAGTTCCCTAAGGGAAGGAAGCACATCCATTCACCTCTGTATCTCAGCACTTGGTGATATTTGATAGATGCTTATTTTAAAAATGAACAAATTTAATGAGTGAATGAAGAAAATCAAAGAATGAACAAAAAGCTAAGAATTTTATTTTTTAGACAAAATCAATTAAGAAATTTGAGAAGGGAGATATATATGAGTCCTGCTGATGAGAGGACTGTGAACGAGCTGGCACTTTAGACCATCTTTGTGGAATGAGTGGGTTTGTGCAAATCTAGGAAAAGGACGGTGCTGAGAGAGCAGTTGCCATCATGATGTCTCTAGTTCTGGATGAACTCTAGTTCTTCTGATGTTATTCTTAGAGATTTGACTTTGACTTTTATAGTAGTAGCCTCTTTTGTCTTTCATTCATGTTGTTTTAAAATGTGAACTGTAAGTAATATTTTTAGAGCTATTAATGTCGAAGAAATACATTTTCTAGTCTGTGGCACAAAGAGGAATGGTGAGATATAAGTGATAATTTCTAGGCTAGGAGTTAGGACCACGACCCTGCTTTTGGTTATGTACAATCTTGACAAATGTTTGGCTGTCGCTTATCATCTGGTTACAACAGTAAAAAAGGGGTAATATTTAGGACGAGGCTGGATGACTTGTGAATCCTTTAATATTTGTTGATGTTAAGTCAGAAAATCTTGAAGAAAATATTAAAGGAAAAATCATGATTATATCAGGTAAAGTTTTTGTGTAGAGACTGCAAGTTGGATTTGTTAGCATCTTTGGGGAACTGTAAATATTGTGATACTGGGAATTTATAGTACACAGAGTGAGTCCTCTGCTTTAAGAAGAAAATCCATTTTCTTTTTTCTTACAGACAAGCAATCATCTCCTCGGACCAAAACTGTTTCCACTTGATAGATTATTAGCAATATTATATAGTATCGTGGACAGCAGAGTTGCTCCAACAGCAAATATATTTTCCCAGGTAAGCTTTGTGATAGGCTCTTATCTATCATCTTTATCTTTATGGAATTTTTCAAGTAGAATAGTTGGTAGAGTTCCCGGCATTTAGAGGTTTGATCAGCATGAGTAAGTAATTTGGTCTAGGTGAGTAATTGAAAATTCCAAATCTTTAAGGATATCACTGAATTTGCATACAGGTATAACCGCATGATCAAAACAGTTTAATTTTCTATTTTTTTCTTTTTTTAATTACAGAATTTTTAAATTAAGCAATTATAATGATCTTGATGATTAAACAAAAGGCTTCATGATTATTGATGAAGTATAATATAAAAATATAATTTAATGAAAACAAAAATATTAAAATTTTATTTGCAAATAAGTAAAATTATTCCTATTCCTCAAATAGACCTTTTAGGTTGACATGCATTTTTACAAAAATGCTCTTATCTTCAGAATGATTAAGTTCTCAGATTTTTCACTAGATGGCAGCAGTAGCATTAAAAATAGGAACCATGACATATTTAATAAAGTTAAGATTTTTTAGTTGCCATTTAAAAAAAAACTTAATTATTAAAAATATAGTCATAGTACATTTCTTATATGGCCCAGAAAGACAATCTTGATCTCATGGATATGAACGGGTAGAGGAGAAAAAGAATGTGACTAGTATTTATTGAAAAACAAAGTCACCTGACTTTGTTGCAATGTTGCAATGTTGTTTCATGTATAAGTTTTTAGGTTGAGAAATCTGTAAATAATAGCATTTACATTTTTATTCACTGCAAATAAATTTGGTTCCTGAATGGATGTTAGACTTTGTAATCAATATCTGGTGGAAACTTTTAATTCTTCACTCAAAGAAGCCTTTGAGAACCTATATGTTCTCATTTAACTCAACATTTAAGTTAGATAATTTTTATGTCAGCATTTATAAAAAATTTTATATACCTTTACTGTGTTCTTGAAGAAAGGTAATGTAGTCAGTTATTAGGCTGTGCATATAACTAGCTAAATAGGTAAGTAGATTGGCAGCCCTAATGCCAATAGTTTAAAAAATCCAATTCAGTTTTAATCTGTATTGCAGGGAATTTTTTCCAATATATGTTTTAGAAATGCTTTGTCTGAAAATAAAGTAATTTTAATCAAACTTTAGATTTTATTAATAGCTTTCTACATACAATACATTTTATGTTTATTTTTGCTGCTGCAATAACTATAAAATAGGTATTATGACAGTGATGGCGAACCTTTTGAGCTCGGCGTGTCAGCATTTTGAAAAACCCTAACTTAACTCTGGTGCCGTGTCACATATAGAAATTTTTTGATATTTGCAACCATTGTAAAACAATGATGTATATTTTTGATATTTATTTTATATATTTAAATGCCCATTTAACAAAGAAAAATCAACCAAAAAAATGTCATAGATTCGCCATCACTGTATTATGATCTTTATCTTAAGGAATTGAGGCTTAGAGAGGTTAAGTGTTGTTGCCAATCAATGTGACACATATAATTCTTTGAGAACTAAAGCCTGGGGAAGTGAGGTACTTCTAAATAGAGCAGGAAGGCATTTGATCACATGTAATTGTACCTCAGGTACCCCAAAATTACCTTTGTGGAAGATACAAAGAAGGATGATCAGTGGTTTTCCCTTTTAGCGAGCTTATAATTTATTTGGGGGGGGGGGTGTGGTACAAATGTACATAAAAATAATGTATAGCTGTAAATGAATGCTAGTGCTGCTGAGAAATTTACAGCAGAGAGAGATCACTTCTGGGTTGGGCATGAATATAGGAAGATGACTTCATAAAAAAGGTGAAAAATGGAGCTGGGTTATAGAGAATGAGTAGGATTTTTTTTCTTTAAATATTTCTAATCTACATAGTGATCCATTTTTATTGTACAGAAATGAGAAAAATGGGTAAATAAAAAGGAGAAATAATAGATAAAATTAGCTGACACCTTATTTCTAGCGGATAGAGTTTAGTAGACGAGAAATTTATGATGGGCAGGTAATATGACCAAAGGGAGAGGACTAAGAAAACCCACAAAATCTTTGTGACCTGCACACTGGTTTAGTTGAAAGTGGATTATATTGTGGTAGTGGTAGCAGTCATTGTTAACAATCTAGTAACTAGTACTACTGCCACATCATCCATCTTACCTTGCCTTTTGGTATCTTACATTGGCAGGGCATTTTACATTTTATAGTCTTGTCACTTACTAAGTTAATCTTTAAAGAAAAGGAACTGAAGCTCAGAATGCCTAAGAGATCTGCCCAAGGCCACATAGCAAATCACTGGTAGCATCCAGACTTGAAGAAGATTTTTCCAGCAACAGGCTTTGATTAGAGAAACAATGTAGCCCAAATGCATCTTTATTTTTTAACCAAGTTAAATTGTTTTCCACCTTAACAACTATGAAATTCTTTTCAGCCATAAACTTAAAACAATTTTTATTCATCTTCTTATTACCGGTAATCAAAATGATAAATTTTGTATATTTAAAACATGGCTTAAATGAATTTGTGTCCATTTGATGTCAAATCACTTAGGACTTGATATTGCTTTATTTCCATTTGTGATACAAAGGGTGGGGTGCTAAAAATGGATGATGCATCTGACCCTAAAATATCTAACACAGTCAGGTTACATATATACTGTGTGTAAGAACAAAATGTGACAGAAATCACATCATAGGAAGGGTAATTCTCCCATATGCCTTTTCTTTTTCTTTCCATTGACTCTCAGTGACTTTTTCTGTTTTTCTCTCCTTTTATGCATCCATGTAAACTACTCTTGTCCGTAGGAATGACAATTTGTATTTAACCTATGCACATATAATTTTTTAAGTGAAAAACAAAAGTATGACTTGTATTGGAAGTGCTTATTTGATATGAACACTAGATGGCAATATTGTTACATTACAGCTTTAAGATAAACTAAGAAACAACCTGTTAATACTGTTTTTGATATTTAGAGAAAGCTGTTTGTTAATTTAACAAATTGGTTTATTTGAATATAATAAAAATTATCTGGAGATATTTAATGGTATACATGTGCATGCTGTACATGCTTTCATGAATAAATAAATAAATAAAATTGGTAAGGTATTATGTTACACGAGAGCAGTGGTTCTCAACCTGTGGGTCGCGACCCCTTTAGGGGTCAAACGACCCTTTCACAGGGGTTGCCTAAGACCATCGGAAAACATATATAATTACATATTGTTTTTGTGATTAATCACTATGCTTTAATTATGTTCCATTTGTAACAATAAAATTGGGGGTCACCACAACGTGAGGAACTGTATTAAAGGGTCGTGGCATTAGGAAGCTTGAGAACCACTGCACTAAAGGCCCAGTGCATGAATTCGTGGGTGGGGTTCCTCTGGGTGGCCTGCAGGGATCAGGCTGAAACCCACAGTTCAATGCCACCTGCAGCTCCTACCTGCCGCTCCTGCTTATCCCAGCACTACTGTGCCTGCCGCTGGCTCGTGCCCAATCAGTCCCAATCAGAAGAGGCTCGTGCTGCCGCAGCAGCGCTCGCCAACCATGAGCCTTGCATCTGGTGCCCTCCCAAGGGGAGTGGCCTGTGGGATCAAGCTGAAACCGGCTCTCTGACATCCCCCAAGGGGTGCTGGATTGCGAGAGGGTGCAGGCCAGGCTGAGGAACCCCACCGGTGCACTATCGGGTCAGGGAGCAACCATGAGAGGGGTCCAGGGTGTGTCCAGCCCATCTCAGTCCCAATCAGCAGGACCCCAGCAGCAAGCTAACCTATCGGTCAGAGCATCTGCCCCCTGGTGGTCAGTGCACATCATAGCGACTGGTCGACCAGTTGACTTCTGCCCTCTGATGATCAGTGCACATAATAGCAAGCAGTTGAGCAGCCTTAGCATATCATTAGCATATTACGCTTTGGTTGGTTGGTTCTGCTGTTCGGTCTATTTGCATATTACCCTTTTGTTATATAGGATGAGTGTTTTCCATGTGGAAGTAAATTTCTTCTTACTGGCTGTAATGTGTTTATATGCAATGATTATTTTTTCTATTTATTTACTTTATATCACCTGTTTTAAGGCTTTATTTTTTAGTGATATGCTATTGTATAGCTTGATTTACCAGTTACATAATTATTTATAATTTTTCACATAACAGTTTGATCAGATGTTTTATATATGTTCAAAGTTCTCTTGAAGCAAAAGTTTATTTCCATTGCATTTCATTTAAATCTATTCTGTAATAAAGTTATAAAAATAGTAGTTTAAGGAATCTTTAAAGTTATTAAAATTGTAATTGAGAATAATAATCAAATTAACAACAGTAATAGTATGTAGTTGGTATTCTTCCGAATTTCAATATTTTTTATTAAATTTTGAATAAGATTCTACTCATTAACTTTAGTCTCAAGATGAGTAAAAGTATTAGTACATTTAACATTTTACATTAGAATAATGCTCATATTTATTAAATTGAAATACGGTTTTTAAATTTTCTTAGATTTGTAAGAGAATTTAGCCTTATGCAATTTACTACAGTTTTGCAGTCATAATCATGGGTTGTTTTTAAATTTTTCATTCAAATAAAATAAATGTAGTGCCATCTACACATGAACTTTGTGAATGACAAAGCTTTAATTCTGGTATTTCCAGTTATTTAGTTTTTCCTCTCAGCATGGATAGAATATATAAGCTATACCATTTACATTCAGGAAATGGCAAAGATTATTACTTTCAAAACACTTTGATCAGATATGTTATTGAAGACCATTTATCATCTTTAAAAGAAATACTATTGAATTTCTTTAAGAAATTTGTTTACAAACCTTTGGTTGACCTATTCTATTTGTGTGATTTTCACTTACTTATCCTTGCCTACCCCCTCCATAGTCTTGTAGTTCTACATGAAGGCAGTAGAAGATTCAGTTCTTTAAGACTGTTATCAAGTATATCACTTATTTTAAAATATTAAGCCATAATGCTTTATCTTCTCCCAGATGATAAAATTGTAAAGAGTT